AGCTCTTGTAATTGAGTCTTTAATTACCTTAATTTTGTTGGGGGTATTTCGATATTGAGCCATCGAAATAGGAACTACACATGGAAATACGTTAATACCAAACTCCACCTCTTTATCTATAGGTAATCCATATAACTCATCTGGAAAAACCTCTGGATACTCTTGAACTGTTGGAATGACTTCCAACTTAAATTCAGCAGCTCTTTTATCCACCATATTCACTAAAATTGCTTGACATCCTTGTGACATCAATTTCTTAGCAGTAAAGGCTGAAATCAATGGATAAGGGATTTACCCTTTCTCCAACAAATATTATCTCAGAACCTTTTTCATTCTTTAAAAACAATCTCTTTAAATGACAATATACCCAACCATAGTAGGAAGATAACCAATCCATGCCTAAGACTATTCCAAACTCCACAAAAGATAACTCCAACAGATTTGCAGGAAATTCTACCTCTTGTATCTTTATCAGACAATTCTTACATATCTGACTAATGCTCACACTATGGAACAATGGATTGATTGCCACAATATCACTATAAATAGGTTCTAAAGAGATTCCCCTATCAAAACATAGATCAACAATCTCTAACCAACCTTACTCTAATATAAGAGTAAGTAGAACCAAGAACTATCAACACAAAAATAGGTTCATCAAAAATATAAAAGGTACATTCAATAACTTTTGGAGCATCTCAATCATCATCAGTCTTGATATGATAAAATCAAGCATTAGTCTTGCCTTCACGATTGGATACAACCTCATATATATCTAGTTTGCCTATTTTGCCACCTATTCCCTTTTGGGGTCCTGCTACCGACTGGTCTGGATATAGCTCTGGACAATGCCTTTTATAATGACCAGCTTGCCCACAGTTGTAGCATTTTCCATCAGCGAACCAACACTAACCATGATGTTTCTTTCCACAGAACTTACATTTTATAGTATGATGAAATCCCGAACCTTGGGTACATGCTGAAGTTGTATAGGTCGGCTTTGATTTCTCTCCAGAAAATCCCTTTTTGCATGTAGATGTTGAGGATGAGAACTTTGTTGCTGTTAACTCTAGTTGTGTTTGGAAAATGGTGCAGAGAAGGAGTTCCCAAACCTTTTGCTTGACTGAGCCTTCTTCGCTTCTAAATCTTCAAAATCAATTTTTCCATGGCTTTAACTTTTTTTTACCATTTCTTTAAAAGAAATAAAATGGTAAGACACCAAAATTATTTTTTACTGAGGATCCAATCTAGAAAAAAACCTATCAATTCTGTCTTTCTCTCTTAGAAGAAACTCTGATGCAAATCGATTCAATATGTGGAAATTACATTCATAGTCATATAATGTTATGCCAGACTACTTCATATTCATAAATTGTTGTATCATTTCATTGATGAACACGTCCCCAATATATTTCTCCTTGAATTCAGTCAGGAAGAAGTTCCACGTGATCTGTTTAGGAGGAACTCGTAAGGTGACTGTATTCCACCACACACTAGCTTGTTCTATCAATAGAGACACAACCTCTTCTAGCTTTCCCTGATCATCATAAGGAATTTTGTTCAATATGTTCTTAACATCATTGAACCAGTAATCGGCGGCCAACAGATCAACGTCTGAATCGCCTCAAAATTCAGGAGCCCTCATTTTTCTTAGCTCTTTCAGAACTAACACATGGTTTAACGATTGATGATATTATCCAATGCCTAGGAAAACAGTCCTCAATCTTGCACATGCATATTATACTGATTCGGATTAGGTGACTCCATATTAGGTTAAGTATTAGGTGGATTTTGGTTATCCTCATTACTCTCACTTTGTGTCGGAGTAACACGCTTGACTGTCCTGCTTGATTACTGATGATCTGACATCTGAACACGATCAAAATTAATCACCTAACATTAGTAAGGAGTAACTTTACTCAATAATAAGCATCATAACATATATACAACTATCAGTGATATTTTGACAACTTAGTGGCATGTATACAATATTAACTAAATTTAAACCCAAACCACGTCAAGAAACGGCTAAACATGTAGATTTGATACCAATAATTGTAACACCTATGACCCATATACTTATGTCAATACAGGTTATAGACGTCACATGAATTACTTAAAACATTTCCCAACTCAAAAGTGATTTAAAATTTATTTTCTCTAAATTTTAATTAATAATACAAAATTTTAAATTACATAAAACTATCACATGATTTTTAAAACGTATATTAATATCAAATACACCCATTTATAAAAGTAATACTGGTTAATACTATCCATGATAAAATATAGTAAAACAATTTAATTTATCCATTACAATCCAGTTCCAAAATAGTCAACAGAGCAACTAGGACATTCATAAGTATATGCCAATAACTAAGTCAAAATCACATCAACGGATGTCTTAAAGATATTGTAATATACTCCTCGATGCTTGGGGTTGCTCAGTTCTCCTTACTTCTACCGTGACCTTTACCTACGCGTGAAAATCATCACATGCTAAGTATATACTTAGTGAGGCAATTAAAATAATAAACATTGCATTACAACCCATACATGAAATTAAATGTCATTTTCCAATGCCATAAGATCATCTTACCTGCATGTCCAATAATTTACCATAATCAAAATGTCATGATATAAATATAATCATTTTTACCACTAACTATAACCCAAATGTAAAACTATAAAGACCCTGGGTATTAGAGTAATATATATATCGAAGTGCTAATACACATAAGGTCGTGCCCACCATAATACACATATGGTCGTGCCCACCATAATACACATAAGGTCGTGCCCACCATAGGTACTTAGTTCCATTACACACTATAGTGTTGCACTAAATGTCTTTACACACTAGTGCTAATATAAACTTGCAATTGTTGTACTCTATGACATGCCAATTTTACCCTGTCATTCAATGACTTACTTGCGCATATAGTATAATTATTTCATCCATGGCATTGTATATCCATATAATTAACATTAGGGCAGTTCTTACCCCAAAATAACATTCATGACAAAATATCATATTATCAGTGATCAATGCATTATGATTTCACACTTTGAGAAATCAAGGTCATGTCAATATTATGAATAATCACATAATATCAGGCTGATATAAACAAGGTAGACTCATCGTAGGTCTTCCTGATGATATATAAAACATCTATGTACAATGTCATGCATGCATTGCACTCACCTTGACAATATATTTCAAAAGATTTTCCTCACTATGCTCCAAACTTAATCCTTTTTATACTTAATTTGCTTCGAATACAATGTCAATCATGATCTGTACAAAATCACAAATTTATATCAATACATATGTTAGTATTATACTAACATAAATACATTTCAAAAACAAAATCCATAATTATACTTGAAACTTATTCATCGCCAAAATACTTCAACACTTATTAATTCTTTTAATATTGGCAACAAATTTTCTAAATTATATAAAATGGTCCTTCACCATTTTACCACTTAAACTTTCAATAAAAAAAATTCCAACATTGAAATTATTACCAACCAAGTACATTTACAAAGGCATAATTACATTTAAATACCCCAATTATTCGAATATTGCATATAATTCACTAAACTTTCGAAAGTTCCATAATGATCAAATTTCACACCCTAACAATCATTTCAATTCCCAAACAACAATTTCCAGTATAGTACATCAACTATTGAACAATTACACAATAACCGACCATTTTTCCAAAATTATCAATTTTGTCCCTCAATTTTTTGAAAATTACCAAATGGTCAAAATTTTATAAGGCTTGTATAATACTTCATACATCATTTACAACCCTTACATAATGTTTCCATAATTTTTATCATCCATTTAAGCCATGGCCAAAAGTTACAAAGTTCCAAAACTAGGGTTTTCATGATTTTGCTCGATTTTGATTCAATTCAAGCATGAAATCAACCTCCATCCAAACTTAAAAATCTATACAATCAAAGGCCTAATCAAATTTCATCAAAACACAAAGTTCCACAACTATATAATTTGGTTGAAACTCATGGAAGCATTTTTTGGAAGATTAAACGTGTTTTAATCATAAAACAAGCTTCAAAATCAATTTACAATCTCAAAAACATCAAGATTCATCATCAATTCCACAAGCCCTAATATGAACATAAACCCTAAAATTTGGGATATTTTAAATTAAGCAAGATTAGCAAGCATAAATAGTACCAAAAGATAGTGTTTTTCACGTAAAACAATTTTCTATTTCACGGTATAACTCAAAATCCAAATGAAATTGGTCAAAAATTGAAAAGAAACTTTCTCTCACCTTTGGAGGAGTTCACAGCTTGAAGAAGAAAAGATGAACAAGGTTTCATAAATATTTTATTCATTTAATTGGAAAAGACTAATTACCCTAAATGAAACTTCATATTGACCATCAAACTAAGAAAACTCAACCTTATCATCTTCCAAAAGTAAAAGATAAACAAAATATTTCACACTTTACCATTTTTCCATGCAACTTTCCAAAAATTACAATCTTGCCATTTTAATCCAACGATCCAGATTTAACATGGAAATAAATCCTCAAATCCCATGGTTCATATTATTTTACATCATTTTAACATGTGGAAATAATATTTATGAGCTTAATTTATCAGCCTTCAAATTTTCTATTTGATCCGATTTACCAAATTGTTACCAGACTTTAACACTTTCTAGTTTTTAACACAATTTCCAGATCAAGAATCTGATTTCAATAAAATCCCACTTTTAAGAGTAAACTATCCATTTATGGAATAAATATTATTTTTGTTAAAATTATCACTTAGGTCCTTGAATGTTTCCTAATTTTATACTTTGGTAACAAACTTTCAAAGTTTTCATTTTGGTCACTAACCAAGTTTTGGGGTATTACATATCCAATAATGCTCCATTGGCAAAAGCACCTATAACCATCCTTGTTTACTTGTTAAGACCATTATAGAATATCTAATTTTGCATCCAATGTTGAAAACCATGCATTGGACATTTATGTATTAAATATTTAGATCTCTTCCAAACATCATATAAGTTTTCATACTCCATTTGCTTAAAATATGTAATTCCATTTATAAGCCTTGAATTCATGTTGGGAGGTTTGAATCGTTACAAGAACTTTTGGACAAGCTTGTTTCACGATGCGATCGAACTAGGGGGCAGCGAATTGAGTCACACCATGTATTTGTCGCGAAAAGAGTATGGAAATAGTTTTAACTTTAAAGCTTCTATAGGTACTCCTTGTTGTAAGTATGAATCACACACCTCAATAAATGCTCTCAAGACTGATCAAGGGTCTTCATTGTGTATCTCACTATGTTACTCCGTTGACTACAACATTTAGAACATCATCAACTTCAACTCAAATTGGGTAACATGAACAGTCGATCTAATAATCACAGGGTTTAAATCATCCAATATTGGCATATAATGTTCTCAGATAGGCCTATTTTTTTCATGAATGTTGTGGTATGGTGGTAACATTGAAATGTTTTGCAAAGTAGAAATCAATCCATCATTATGCCCTAATTGCTCTTGTTGATGTTAATCTCTCTCCATCGGTTATTGCTTTGAGTTATGCTTCAAAAGAAACATATTAAAATCTATTTGTAAAAGAAAAATTAAAACTACATTAGTAAAAAGGTAATTCTAAAAGTAATGGCAGTAGCCCACGGTAACGATGCCAAAAACATGATGCTTTAAATAATGTAACGGTAAGTAGTGCAAGCATACAATATCGTATCAAGTAATAAAATGGATGCAAATCAATGCATCGAGTATCATATCCATATAGACAAGTATTGTAATACCCCAAATAGTAGGTCAATGGTTATTTTAAAAGAATTTAAAAATTTAAAGGTTTAATTTAATAAATGTTAAAGTATAAGAAATGATTTGAGTAGGGCCAATTAGTAAGAAAAGGATAATTTAAAGGGTATATTGGTCCTTTGGAATGAAATGAAATTAAAAATTAATTTTTAAAGATTAGGGATTTAAGAAAAAGGGGAAAGTTAAAATTTTAGCTAAGTTAATTATGGCTCTTCTCTTCCTCCCGTGGGTTGTTCTCACCTACATAGAAACAAGGTAAACTTCATTAGGTTAGTTTTTGCTTCCGATTTTGGTTGGCTTTTGTAACCTTAAGTGATGAGTAAGCCCAAGGAAGGTTTCAAGAAGATTAAAACTAAGAGTTGGAAGTTTTATTTGAGATTTAGGGATATGGGTTTTTGAATGATATGTGGATATATTAGTTTTTTATTGAGGTTTATTAGTATATTAGACTTGTCAAAGGAGTGAATAAAACATTAAGAGCATTGGATATGATTAAAAACGTGTTAGAAAAAGTAGTAAGATTCTTGAGTTGAGATGTTGTTTAGAAATTTTAGGAGTTATAAGAAGTTAAATGATGGAAAGTTAGTTGGGTTAAGTAAATAAGAGTTTAATAGTACTATTAGAGGACAAAGTAAGAGATTTAAAGGGAAAAATAAGTAAAAATTGGGCTAAAAATGGTAAATATGGGTAGGGGTATCGGTACTGGAAGAACAATAACGATACTATAGGCTTAAATTGGAAGAAATTAGTTGAACATTATCGATACTGATGCAATTAGTATCGATACTTAGGTGGGTATCGATACCATGAGAAAGGTATCGATACCATTGATTTACAGAATGCATAAATGGTATCGATAAAGTAATAGAGTATCTGTACCATAATATAGAAGTATCAGTACTGAGAGGAAGGTATCTATACCATTAATTTACAGAATGCCGAAATGGTATCGATACTGAAAGGGAGTATCAGTACCATAATATAGAAGTTTCGATACCATGGTATGGTTACCGATACTATTGAGCCTAGAATTTAAAGATAGGCTGAAATTTGTTATAGAAATCTACATAATTGAGTGTTATTAAAATATAAATGTTAGGGAATATACTAACATTTTGTATGGTGTGTTCCTTTAATGGATGCTTGTGTAGATCATAACCAAACTCCTGAATCTAACAAGATCAACATCAAAGATAAAGTTGTTGAGTAGGCAGACCTCATTACATTTTTAGCGAGGATTATCAGGTGAGTACATTTATTGTGTTTATTTGAGAGGAATAAGTTTTGAAATAACTTCAATTATAAGGTTTTAATTTAATGTATGTTAATGGTATTTAATATATTTTTTATGCATATAAATAGGACATTAAAGGCATGAAAGGATGCCATAAATGAAATGCATAATTGTGTATTACAAGAATGAAAGGATGCCATAAATAAAGTGCATAATGTTGCATTACAGGCATGAAAGGTTGCCACAAATAAAAAGCATAACAGTGTATTAAAGGCATGAAAGGATGTCATAAATGAAATGTATAACGGTGCATTACAGGCATGGAAGAATGCCATAAATGAAAATAATGAATAATTACTAAAGAATAATGGGAAAAATGTACGTAAAGAAAGGTATGTTGGACATACTAAGAATGTTGGTGATGATAGTATGAAAGAAATATGGTTTAGATAATAGGGACTTGTCTAATCCTTATGGATGATCGAATTGTTTCGTAACCAAATAATCATGATATACTTATGTTTACATTAATGTTTCCTTACAATATTATGTCTCACTAAGTAAATATTTAACGTGTGTTGATTTCACGCATAGGTGAAGACATATAATAGCAGTACCTATCATCAATTAAGGTTGACTCATCAGTAACTATAGGACAATCTAGATTATTTTGAAAACTTAGTTGGCATGTAATTAAAATATGAAAAATGCTCTGAATTGTATTTAATTAGAAACTCGTAACAGATTCTAATTAATGTTTTTTGGTATATAAAACAAATGTTATGTTTTAAGAAATTTGGAAACAAAATTTTACGGGTTTTCAATTGAGGAAATATTTTAAAAGGGATGTGACATCTATATCTCGTGTACGAAAAGGTATACATGAGATGGGTGTTACATTTATTGGTATCAGAGCTACATGTTTAGCCAATTCTTGGCAGAAACCGATTTTACTTGAAAATAGAAAAGGGATTACATGCCATTAAGATTGTCAATATTACTGATATGGTGTCATTAGAGTACGATTGATGACACTCCTTACTAATTGTAGTGTTATCATTATGTATGTTTTATTAGATGTCAAAATCTTTGAACTCGCGAAGGCGGGGAACAAGAGATGAGAGAAGGAATTGATAGCAAAAGTTACGAGACTAATAGTGAACAACCGATCCTATCTGAAAGTGCTAGTGTGCCTGCACATAAGGGGATTACAGTGCCTGAGTTTGGAACTTTTATACAAGATCTTGACACCATATTGACTCGATTTAAACCTCCCCTACTCCTTCAACATCGAGGATCTTGATTTCAAAAGAGTTGAAGAGCTTCGGAGCTCCAGAGTTCCGAGGAGAAGAGGGTGAGGATCCAATGGAGGCTGACTTATGGCTAAATTATGTTATAACAATGCTCGAAAGTCTTCAATGCTTGGATCTGGAAAAGTTAGGAGGAGATATATATTTACTTAGAGGATCAACTCTAGTATGGTGGTCAAATACTACAATGTATGCAACATCGAAGCAAGTGACCTGGCAATTCTTCCTGGAAGAATTGAAGAACAAGTATGTGGGTGAGCAGTTCAGACGGGCAATGCTGTTAAAATTCCTTAACTTGAAACTAGGTGATTGAACCATACATGAGCTCGAGGCTGAGTACAACAAGTTGAACCGTTTTGCTACTAAAGTGGTTCCAAATGATAAAGCACGACGTGATTGGTTTATAGAGCGTTTGAGGCCAAAGTTAAAAGAGATGATGTTGGCTTTGAACTTGCCAAGTTTGCAAGAGGTCATAAACTGAGCCAAGGCTATTGAAAGAGCTCAAGGAGAGACTTTAGCTGAGGAACAGAGTTTTCAGATGGGAAAATGAGTGAGAATGCCTTCAACTCCCTACTATGTTAAGAGAGGCAAGGGCTTGAGTTCCAGATATATTAATAGAGATAGTTTTGCGGCAGCTTAACAGAAAAATAAGCAATTCCAGTCTTTTGCTGTTAGCTCAGGTAGAGCATCCGGGGAAAGGACTCCATGTCAAACATATGATAAATTCCACCGTGTAGCATGCAAACTTCTCAATGGATCTTGTTTCCAATGTGGTGAGACATGCCAATTTACCCGAAACTGTCCTAAGAAATCTGCGGATAATTCAGCGCAATTAGAAAGATCGACGACAACATCTAATAGAAGCATAGGAAGGGGTAGATCTAGGGGACAATCTGATTCAATGCATAGACAAGAGACTTAGGGAGTCGCTAGAATTTACAACATCAAGACTAATGAGGATCGGAATGACCCCGAAATCATAATAGGTACTTTCAATCTTTTTAATGAGAATGTATTTGTTGTTGTTGACCCGGGTTCTACACATTCATACATTAGTAAAAAGGTGGTTAGAGCTAAAGGAATTCCTTTACAACCAATTGTTAGTGAGATGATAGCGGTAAACCCTATTGGTCACAGTACGAGAGTAACTAAGGTATGTAGAAATTGCCCTATAAAGATCCAAGGGATTGTGTTCCTGAAAAACTTGATGGAGTTGACCTTCAATAAATTTGAAATTGTTTTGGGGATGTATTGGTTGTCTTCACACTATGGATGGGTCGATTTTCGCAAGAAACGATTGTTACTAAAAGATACAGAAGGTTAAAAAATTTTAGTGATTGGCAAAAAAAAGGAAATCACCATCAAAAGTGATATCAGTCATGAGTGCAAGGAAAATGATGTCAAAAGTATGAATAACTTTTCTAGCCAATGTGATAGATACTCGAATATCAGAAGTTATAGTAAATGATATCCCCATAGTTATGGAATTTCCTGATGTTTTTCCCGAGGAGTTACCTGGATTACCTCTAGATCGTGAAGTAGAATTCAAGATTGAGGTTTACCTGAGCACCGAACCTGTTTCTATAGATCCATATCGGATGGCTCCAACTAAATTGAGAGAATTAAAATCCCAACTACAAGATCTACTTGATAAGGGATTTGTAAGACCCAGTGTTTCTCCTTGGGAAGCACTTGTGCTCTTTGTGAAA